GCCGCCGGGCCGGGCACCGCCGTCCGGGCACCGCCGCCTGGGCAGGGGCAGCATCTCCCAGGGCAGGGCGCCCCCCGGGCGCGCAGCGGGGACCGCGGGCACGAGAGCGGCGGAGGATGCTCCGCGCTCGGCTCCGCGCAGCCCCGCGGCTGCTCCGCGCTGCCCGGGGGCGCGCGGGGGGCGCAGGTGAGTTACTACCTCCGCACGTCAGGGAGCTGCTGCCCGGGGAGGAGGCGCGGACGGGACAGCGGCGCAGCCCTGGTTTAGGATCCGCCCGCCCCTCTCCAGGGCTGGCGGCTGCGGAGCTGCCCGCGCCCGGCGCCCTGAGTCACCGCGGCCGCGCGCGGGCCCAGCCCCGCCACGGCCCCCCTGTGCTGCGCGGGGTGGCGGGGCCTGCGTTTGGAGGCCTCTTAATAGCGGCTGTTTTGCCTCGGGAGCTCTCATAGTACCTGCCAAAACACACTCATTATCGCGGCGTCTGAAGGGGCTCATCGAAAAAATTATAAAAGCCAGGGAAAAGGTTCTGACTGGCTTCATTGCCCCTGGATTGGGCCCATAGCCCCGTTCCGTTGATCTTCAGCTTTCCCCAGCCACAACCCCCTTGTTGCTGAGTGCTTCAGCAGCATTAGTCACTGTCACAACATCCCGGAGAAGTTATTTTGCAGCAGGGAAAGCAGGAAAGGAAGGCAGTAAGGGACTGCTTGCTCTTTGCCATGTTGGCAAAGCCAGCAGCTCACCTGCTTTACAGTGGCAGCATATCAAAGCATGAGGGAGCGCTCAGATGGCAGCCAGCTAATTCCCTGCCCTTATTATGCAGCTCTGCTTTTCCCGTGGGTTGATGTTCCACTGGAGATCTCTTCCCTTGGGCCCCAGACCCTTCAGTCTGAGACTGAAATGAAAAGCTGTCTTTTTTTTTTTTTTTTTTTTTTTTTTTCTCCAGATCAACTATTTGAGACCGCACTAGTCAGGCTAGTGGTGCAGTCAGTTGCACAACCCAGCTCAGAGATTCTCCAGGCAGGATGGCCGTGCTTCTGGGTCCAGCCTTTTCCCTAATGCAAAGTCCTTGCTCCTGCCAGGGGAACAGGGATTCAGCCAATTTTGTGGCACAACTCAGCTCCCAGCTGCCCTGCAAAGCAAGAGCTGCACTGAGCTGCACAGGGTTAACAGTGCATGGCAATTCTGGGAGCAGCATCTGGCTTAGGGAGGATTTTCAGTGCCCACAACAAAGTACAGTAGTCTCATAAATGCAGGGCGTGTAAAAGATACTGTGTTAATAATCCYGGGGCTAAGCTCCCATTTATGAATAAAGCAGGCTCAGATTGGGAAACGAAGCCTGTCTGGCATGAACCTGATAGAAAAAAGGCACTCAAGTGTCTTTGCTCCCTTGAGCTGTGATTCTGCGAGTGTCAGCAAGAGCCTGGATGTGGCAGGGAGATCCATCAGGTGACCGCGAGCCCCGGTGTCATCCTGCCAGCCCATGTCTCTTGCTGCTCTGTCACTTGAGGCAGCCTTTGCTCAGTGCCTGCGTACGCTGCGAGACACAGTCACCCCATCTAGCAACCGGTGAATCATCCTCAGAGTCTCTCTTATAGCACAGAAATCGCATTCACAGATGGGACACTGACATAATTGGAACACTCTTTTATAGCATTCCAATAGATATTCTAACTGAAATGTTTCATCATTCATTTTTTGAAATAGCCAAGGATAATAATATCCTAGAACTTCTTTTCCACTATTGGCTTAATCTATTTTTCTTAACTATGATATGTGCATTCCTTTGGTTTGCACAGCAGACTTCGGGACTTAATAGGAACACGGAGATATGAGCAATTTTTCCATTGTCCTTCCTTGCCAAACCACTCTGAGTATGAAATTGGGGGGTAATATCTCTGACTCAACCCGACCCCAAGATTGAATAGTAGGGTGCGTGCGTGGGTGTCTCTTAAAGGACGTACCAGAATAATGTTTCTCTTCTCTCTTTTTTTTTTTTCTCTCTTAGCCCTCCCCATGCTCCAGACCAAGCAACTAGTCACTCACAGTCTGAGCTCATTTTAAAGAGCTTGGATTAAGTCCATGTGCAAGTTTTAGTTGCCTGTTAAATTTCTCATGCCTGCCACATACACCATTAGAGCACTTAGATCTTGAGACAGTTCTACCCAATATTTTTTCTGTTTTTTTTTAGCTGCTAAATGGAAGTTTTTAATTTTAAATATATTTTCTGTCTTTTTTTTTTCAGAAGTTTAATATAGGAATATCACAGTATAAATTATCATCTGATCCACTTAATGATTAGTATAATGAACATATTTCCGAGATGATTTTCTAAAACCTTCTTCAGTTTGGAACCTCATGTGTTTGCTTGCATTTGTCAGGTTACTGATATGGGGAATACAGTACGAAGGTACAAGTAGCAARTGAATCATAGTGAAGGATGGCTTTAGCTTACTGCAGCAAGTCTGGACGCTGAGATATATGTTAAGCTCTTCAATCGTGATTTGCATCGCGCTAGAAACTGCTATTTCTTAGGTCTGTTTTCAGCCTCCTAGTACCTGGGCAGTTCAGCATTCACATACTTTTAAAGTTTACTAAAGCGAAGCCCTGCCAAAGTCAAGCAGGGATCCAACTATGTGGAAAAGGCCTCCTTCCATTCTGCAGTTCCCTGAAATGGCAGCGCTGCCGATTTCCAGTCGTGCTCCGTGCAGAGGCTGCTGTGAGCATACGTGGCTGCAATTTTTGTTACAGCTGCCAAGGACAGATTTTGCTTAAGATCTTGAAACACCTTTCTGGCTCATGAATGCAGCTTTACAGAAAAATAGGAGTTAATTCTGACTCCCACATCTCTAATAGGAGTGTTAGGAACTCGAGCAGGGTYGTGGCCACAGGCAGGGGCTTGTGACCACATTGGCCTTTTGATGGTGGTAGTAGAAGGGTCTTTGAAATGAAGGGTCCTTGCAGAAAGGAAAGGTTTCTGGTATGAAGAAGCCTGAGATTTAGGGAAACCAGATAGTATTTCCGGTCTTTGGGCAGTGTATCCTAGCGTTTCACTCCAGCCCTAATGGAAAATAAGCATTAGGAAGTGTTTGTCACATTGTTTGGGTTTTTGCTTTGATTTGTGTTGCGTGCTTTTTCTGAGTGCATGTGTTGAACTGAAGAGTCCACAGACTAGTCTAGTAGTGTTCCTGCCTTTTCCTCCATTGCTAGCTATTAACAACAGGCTGTGGGCAGTATTTCTAAGTTATGTCGCTGTAGCAGCTAAAGCTTAAACAATTTATAATGCTTTATTTTCACTGTTGGCCAGAGAGCACGTTTTGGGTCTCGGTTAAAAWACACTCAGCCCTTGGAGGTCTTCAGAGCTACAGCTGTGACTCAGCCCGAATTCTGCAGCTGCTCAAACCTAGGAATGGTTTCATGCATCTCTAACATTCAGGTCGGATCTGTATTTTGTTAATTTAGACCATTTCTGCTCAAAATAACCCATTGGTACCTTCTAGCACAGCACACAGAGTAGATAGCATTATAACTCACACTTCTTTGCACTTGRAGCCAATGAAAACTGTTATTCCTAAAGGCTGCACCATCGTAGCCACATGGGGCCAACGTCCTTACGTGCCCTGGTGCATGTGTTGCAGAAGGGAGCAGGGGAATCTGCTCAACCGCACGCCTGCCGGGTAGCTCTGGACATCTGGGAAGCTCTCCGTTGGGCGAAACAGTTGGATCCTACGAGCTGAGCTAATCCATACGTTTGTCCAACGCTTTTCTCATTGCTGTCTTGTCACCCTAATTCCTCGCCAGTGTGAGAATTTATGATGGCATGAAATAGCAGTGGAACTATTTGAAATTACATGGTCATTTTGGAAAGCAAAAGGTACATTTTCCATTTGTGGAGCGTTACTAATTCTAGGAGTAGCTAAGGATACGTTCGAAACTTAACGTTCTTAATAGATTCGCAGGCTGGTTAGGAAATAAAGGATAAAGGCTACGGTAAAGATTCAGCAGAAATTTCCCCAGACTCTCCTGCCATCCACCCATATCTTACTTAAAAAAAGGCCTATGTTATTGTTCATGGCTTTCCTTTTTGTGGCCAGTATAAATTATGCTATCCAATCATGCTCCATGTGTTGTTAGTTGGAAGGATGACAGCTCCCTTTAGTGCTACGCCAAAATCAGCAAGTATGTTTAGTTTTTCTAATGAATTTTAAGTAGGAATGCAAATGATAAAAGGCCAGTTCTCCAACAAACAGTAAGCATCACTTTCAAATGGATATATAAA